GTTGGCTATAGGGTAAATTTAATTGTTCCAAATAAGGAAATGAGATGCAATTTAGATTTGAATATTCCAACGGTTGRCACGGCGTCTGGTAGGCTTCTGACTATACCTMTSTATGTGTCACTCAGATGGCAGTGAYTCTAAGGGAATCTCTTTCCAAAAYRGTGCTAAAATACKGGCCAGAATGTTCAGTCAARRAAATCTAATGCTTTTCCTAAAAGTTGCAGYTAAGCGCTGTTSAAGATTCCTYGAATTGACGTKTAGTGAAAACCACCAATACCATGATAACATCATTGAGGAATATCATTTGGCGTGGYTTTAAAGTATACTGACATAATCAATTTTACAGATAACAATAACATATAGACTCAAGKCAAAGCCATTGTTTTAGCTCTGGATTTGCCTCTTGTTGCTGGATGTTTTACACTGCTCGTTTTTATCACTAAAGATKACCTTCACCATCTACATCACCTGGCAGAATCGATTATCATGAAAACACGTTATCCATTTCATCTTATGCACCACTGCCTATTGCAAAATCGACATGAAGTTGTTTTCTTTCTATATATAGATAGGGAGATATATCGCGGGTCGTTACTGACATCACCCGGCATTTTCATAAAAGAAACTGTGTTTCTCCGGACTATCTAGAACAGCAAAGTTCTTCAGGAGTATCTAAACTAAGTTTTCTCGACTAATGACTCATCTYTCTGTCTGACAGGTCGTCGTCCTTGTCCTGAAATGGTTCCTCCAGACAATGGATATATTGTAGGTGATTTACCGGCCAACAGCACTCTCACTTTCCATTGTAATTCCGGCTACAGTCTCTGTGGAAATCGCCATTTGGTATGCGATTCCAACACAGGAAACTGGACAGATTTTAAAGGAAATTTTATCATTAAAAAAACATACTGTGAGTATAAACCGTCATTAATGTCATTTATGTCCACCGATGGCATAGAATACGAGACATATATACTTGGTGAGACGAGGTCCAAGCTCCTCAGGGGTACAAGGGCATCATCCAAGCAGTCCTGACGATCTACAACATAGAACAAACTAAATATGACACCCCCTCCCCCTAGTCGCCTTAATTGTAATGTGTTGTCTCTTATAGCGTGAAGATTACACATACATAATGCGTGACATGAGTGGACAACACTAACAATGTGCGCAATTGATACACTTGTTGTATTTTAAGAAATACTATAATATTCTGCAATACTGCAATACTAAAATAAAAGTATA